TTCTTTTCTAGACGCCTCGTAGTTCGGCCAATGTATCCTGCTCCACAGGAGCAAGTGAAGGAGTAGATGCACTTCTGTGGCCGACACCCAAATATTCGAGAAGTTCCACGAGGACATTACAGCATGAGAAACGAAAAATCAATTTGCAGCACGCCGCAGGCCAGAATGCTCCAGCGAACGCCGTTGGCAGGAACTCCGATAAATAAAGTACAGTTGATGAGCTAGAGGATCCGCTGTTTCTGCAGGCCTGTGTAGGATATTCCGAAAGAAAACCTGGACGGGACAATACATGAACGTTCACAGTTTGTTCCCCTAAATATAAAATAAAATCTAGTCCAGAGATTAGCAGCTAGAGTACGACGGATCTGCTCTCCTGAAACTGTCGAAACAGAACTCCAACAGCTGCAGAACACGCTTCTTGAAAATGGATACCCAGAAAGGTTCCTCCTCAGGAATATTGGCAAATGCGCCAAAAAGGCTGCTACCTTAAACACAGAAACGAAAGACGTGTTCATAAGAAAGCCTTCTTTAGGCAATGCAAGAAGGGAGCTGGTAAGACGACGCCTGAAGACTGCGACCACAAGCGCTTTCTTCGCGGCGAACTTACGCGTGTTCTTCACGCACCCTCCCCTCCTACGATTGGGAATTAAAGACCGACTCTTGTTGAATGCCACATCCATATACATTTATTCTTTCAATTACTCCCGTGGAGCAGGATACACAGGCCGAACAAAGAGGCGCCTGGAAAAGAGGGTACCTGAGCACATACCGGCCTGGTTAAGTAGAGGTGAAACTAGATCAATCTCGAGTTCTGTTCTCGCACTCCTTGTCAATACGAATCATCGAGCCGATACTAATGAAGCATTTCAGGTTGTCTACCAAACACCAGCTAAGTTTCCAAAGGGCCTACGCCAACGGGTGCTTGCAGCAGCTGAAGCTTATATGGAAGCCGATACGGCAAGCGAATCCAGTGCTGTGTTGTCAGAAGACGCTAACACAAGCACTTTTACTTCCATGGCCGACCCCGACGCCAGGTGGCGATCGCACGTCGTGCCCACATCCTAGTGACAATCGTTCGCTTCGTACAAATGACAGTACTTGTCACTCCATGTACCTGACCCCTGACTAATACCCACAACCTAACCCAATTTCCTTCCCTCCCCCAGCACGCCATGCGGGCGGCATGAAAACGATGAGTTGTAACCAAAGTACACTTATAAACTCTGTCCAACTGTACTATTTTCATTATCCGTGCAAATGTACTGGGGAGTTGCTGAAAACATATGTTCACCAAATCGACTTTTCAAATAAAGTTGTTGTTTCCAGAAACCTGCTCACTTGTCTTTTTCCACCTACCTATCAGGGCATAACAGTTTGGTTGGAAGATAGGGACTATTTAAACAACTATGCAAGGAGAGGCTGACAACCACTGCGCCTGTTTAGACCCCCCGCGGAAAAATAGGGGGAGGGGGTGGCCGTATAAATCGAATGATCCGAGGGGAAAAAATAAATGATAAACCAAGACCACACAAGGCCACCTCATGAGCACAATAATTGCCAGATTTCATAGATAACTTGCCTAAGATACACGAACATTAGACTCTGTGATCTAGATCGATACACGTCTTCTAACCAAAAATTGACTAGAGTCCAAAAGGGGATATCGGTAGATATTTCCTTAAAAGGGGACTGTTGATTCAAGCAAATTGTTAAAATAGTTAGGAAATACCAATGGCCCTGACTGTTACTCACCGGAAAGTCGACCAAATACCGGTAGAGTAGTTCTGAGGCCACGGAGTCTATGCTGCCTCCATTCACACGGTAGCTTTTGCTCTGACCATCCGGCGAGCGGACCACCTGGACCACGTAGACGGTTTTCTCAGTGAGGACACGCTGCAGGCCTCCCAGAATGAGACCAAGTATGTGCAAAACCAGTTGAGTATCCGCGAATGTGAGCACAAAACTCACGAGGTTTGGGTAGGCCAGTAGGGATGCAGCCTGACTTGATCGACTGGAGCTCAGATCATCCAGCCCAAAGAGATCAGTCGGGTCGGGTAGTCGCGCCGCACGTTGGCTACTGCCAGCGGAATTCATCCAG